TATAAAAAATTAACTTTTGAAAATTTTTAAATCTTGAGATCAGACTTACGCTCTCTATTCAAGAATCTAGATTTATTTTCTTCTTTTATTAAGTGAAAGTATGATGGAACTACGGAATCTTTTGATACGGTTATGTAGTGTATGAGTAGGTTGGGTTCCCAGTAGGTGCGCATAGAACGCGATGAGTTAATATATTTTTTTTATTATATTGCTTTTTTATTTTTTTGGAAAATCTTGAAATAAAGAAAAGAAAATTGGGAAATAAGGGGTAATACGTTTCTTTTGATGGCGCATTATTTAGTTTTATAGAATAGTATGTATAGTAAGAAAGGAAGATAGGACATTGGGAGAAATTGCGACTTATTGTGTGAATGAAGAATTGTAGAAAGCTCATATCTTGATAAGCACTACAGGTGTTTGGAATATATTTTATCTTTAACTCTGTGATTTCCTAAATATAGTAATTTTTTTTTTTTTTTTTTTCTTATTGTGAAATTCATATCACTCGGAATGGTTAAATTACCATTTTTTAAAATTCAAAATATAAAAAATTACTTTGAAATTTTAAATCTTGAGACCATATTAGTCTATTCAAGAATCTAGATTATTTTCTTCTTTTTATTAAGTGAAGTTGATGGAACTATGGAATCTTTGAATACGGTTATGTAGTGATATAGGTTGGTCCCAGTAGGGCCATAAAGGAAGAGTATTTTTTTTTTATTATTGCTTTTTTATTTTTTTGGAATCTTTGAATAAAGAAAAGAAATTGGAAAAAGGGGTAATCGTTCTTTTGATGCATTATTGTTTATCAGAAGTAGTAGTAGAAGAAGAAGAAGACATGGGGAGAAATGCTTATTGTGTGAATGAGAATTGTAGAAGCTCAATCTTGATAAGCATTTCGTGTTTTGGATATATTTTATCTTTACTTGTGATTCTAAATTATATATATATAAGAAGGAGAAGGTTATTCTCATTTGATAATATATCTGTGGCGCTTGTGTAATTTGGATAAGATAGTACTCATGCTCATACAAAATGGGGCCATGCAAGTTTACTTTCTATTTTTCTTTTAAAAAAATTGAAATGTACCAATGAAATTCTCTTCAACTTGTTGGAAAAAAAAATCATTTTTATGATATTAAAATTTGGATCTATGCATATATGGGCGGAGACAGGAGAAATTAAGAGAGATAAAATGCAGGCGTGCTGCAATATATAGTAAGGGGTTAATTAGCGTTTGATGAAGGAAAATCAAGTAGGGTTTATAAAAAAGAGGAGAAAGGAAACTTTTTTTTTTTTCCTTTTTCGAAGCATATCTTTACTTATACCATATTTATTATTTGTAATTTTGCATCCTTTTACTTGTACTTGATTCTAACAAAGGAAGATTCATTGAGAAGAGACCAAGATATGGTGGGGTATAGATTCTTTCCTATGCTCATGGTTGATGTTTTGTCGTCATTCTTGTGAAAGTGCAGCACCACCAAATCAATGCTCTCTCGTGTCTCCTCACTTTAAAACTTATTATTATAATTTGTGAATCGAAAACGATTAGGTAAGAAGATAGATGATGAAGAAAGAGTTATATGAGCTTATTTGGGTTAGATCAACCAAATAAAATATAAGACATTGTATTTAGTTAAAATAATAAGACTTCGGCATCTCCACTCCTTGAGTTAGTTTTAGTGGAGTGACATAGGCCTGATCTTTTTAATTAATATGGTATCGAAGCATATCTAGTGATTACATACAGATGTGTTCGTCAATTCAAACTTTACATTTCAGATGTTCATGTCTAGGCGTAAGGATCATGGATGTGTTATCCCATGTTGATTTGGAATAAAATGTCTAATCAACATATAATTTTGATTAAAATTCCAACTAGAAAGATCAACTTAGGAGACTATTCCAATATTAAATATCATACATTGAGATTTATAAGAAGAATATTAAATATCTTTAGAGGGGCCCTTCCTGCCCTAGTTGTTGTTCAATTTGAGTGGTGATTGTTAGAACAGAATACAAAAATAAATATAGTAGGGATCCAAAGCACCTAACTTTGCTATTTTTTCTACGATGATCTTTGCCCTTTGCCCTTAGTAATTAGTTTTGCATGCATTGTTCAAGAATACTTATTTTTTTTCATGTATGAAAAAAAATTATAAATCACGAGTCTTAAAAATAATAAATTCAATTTTAGAATTTAAAGTTTTAGATTTTTAGGGTTTAGGTTTTAAAGATTTTATGGTCTAGGAGTTTAGAGTTATATTTTGATTTACGGTTTAAGTTTCAGGAGTTATGATATATTATTTTAGGGTTTAGATTTTTAAGATTTTAGTGTTTAGAGAAATTAGGCTTTAATTATGGTTTATGGATATGGTTTTAGGGTTTATGATGTAGTATTTTAGGAAATAGGATCTTAGGATTTAAGATTTAAGGTAAAGTTTAGTATAATTACATTATTTTAAGGACTCCCATCTATATATAAAGTATAATTATTTTTGAAAAAATAATTAGTGGAAGTCCCACTAATTCAATAATGTGTTACAAAGTATAAGGTTCCAAAACAAAGTATATTTTTTCCTCAAAAAACATAAAATTTTTTTTTTTTTTTGAAAAAAATTGAATCAATTACATTCTTTTAAAATGTGAAAATTGATAAAATAAATTTCTTGAAATTTAAATTTCCAATACCAATAACAAATTCTTAGAGAACACCTTGAGGAGTCAAAAGATGGAAAATTAGAGCAAATATAGAAATAGTCATGATCAAAAATAGGATTTAAATTTGAAAAATATCAGATTTTAAAAAACTTATTCCATCCAATCTGCAATTCATTTTATTAATTAAAAAGTAAGTTTGGAGTTGATAAAGACTCATAAAACCTTAGGCCTGGTTAACTTACATAGTGATATGGGTTTGTAAAATAAGTGGATTTGGATTGTCAAGTACAAAGGAAAGTTATGGTCTATGGAAATTTATGAGCCCAACCCAAAATGTAATAGTAATAGCAGTAGGCTGTCCAGGGTGTGAAATGGTCTCCTCCTATTCTCTTTAGTGGAACAAGCAAGGCCCAAGAAAAGCATAAACATAATAGAAATCCCACATCGCAAAAAGGAAACCAGACAAATCAAGCTGACTCCTACATAACAGACTCGAACGTCCCACAGCTTTTCACGCAGCCGCGCAGTGAGCACAAAGCGAACTATTCTTTCGCCTTTTACTAAAGAATACCGTGTGCTCGCTGCAGATAGCGTCATACGCTAATTTTTGGAGGGCTGCCTTCTAGGTAAGCCCCATAATTCTAGTACAAGTTTTGTAGTTCCAGTTGAACCTATTACTATTGCAATGGTTTTCTGTTCTTAAAGGTTGTGGATTTCAGTGAGGTTGGCTTTGGACAAATTGTATTGTCGTCTAGTAAGAAAATTTTATTTGTGCTCAAAACTTATCTATTAATTGCTATTGCAAGAAATTTCAGGTTGTCTTTCTTCAATTCAAGATATATTGGATTGTGATGTAGAAATAAAGTTTAAGTATGCGATTTGAATTCGATCTAAATCTCCAACTTTTTTTTTTCTTTTTCTTCATAAAGTAAACTCTTTTTGTATACCTTATCCAAAACCTGAATATCTGATTTAACAAAATGAGTGCAGGGTGAATATTATTTTTATTGAGAGATCGGTATAAATATTGCAAAATCTAATCCCAACCATCATCTCTACTTTTCTGTTATTAATAAAATATTATGTAAAACATAAAAAAATTGAAAAAAAATCATATGCTTCTCCAACTCTTTTTCTTCTTTTCATTCTCTTAATCTCAATCCTAACAATTAGAAATTGGAGAGCCAATAAAAACGGGGAATACATTGCATGGCCAAGTAAGAACACATAAATGGGATAGGCACTCACTTATGCGGTGCTTGCCATCTTCCTATATTTCCAGAGTGGGACTTTTTTTGTACTCGCACTTGTAACTCCGACACTAACTCTAAGCACAACACAACCATCCTTCCTTTTGATTTTTCATCAGTTTTTTGTGACGACGCAAATATTTCTTTCACTTACAGACTTCTCGGATGACCTTCTATTACGCTTTGGTTCGATTCGTTAAGCTGGCTTCTTTTCTTGTCCGGTCGTCGAAACGAAATCGTTTTGTGAGGATTTGAATTTGACTTCAAATCATTACCCGATAGTATGTCCGTGCATCCAAGGAAGGTTCATGATCATCGAGCAATCAGATCGGATTCAGTGAATATACGGATCAACAGGTTTAAGTGGTGTTTGGTTTTTATCAGCATAGATTTTCACCTTTCACTACAAAAATAAAAATTTTACTACATATGCAAAACTCAATTTTGCTTTTAAATCTTAAATTCCACCCCAATCAAATAATGTAGATTTTTAACAATTTACAAACCAATTTCCACAAATTTCACGCATATTTATTACTTTTAACATAACCAAATTATTAAACAATCAAATGATAATTATTTAATTTTTTCACTAAGAATTGGAACCAAATTGGTGACTATAAATCCAATCCGAATCCATTGAGGGCAATCCACAACAAACGGAGAGAATATTGGGGGAATCAAATGGCTGGAGAAAGATTTTCGCCTTCAACTCAAATTTCAAACCCAATTAGGGGGGAGCACTGCTCTATTCAATTCGATTCTCAATACCTTCCTGAAATATTTTTTCTCACGCGATTTATTGAGGTAAATGGCATTGGGGCCCAGCCTAAATACTTATGTTTCTCTTCCGTATACATCTTGCTAGCCCTGACACTTCTGTCCCTGTTCGAGTCGAATAATGATTTCTGAAACTGAATTGATTGAGGTGGGAGAAGATAATTCTCGGATTAGATTCAATTCGAATCTGGTACAGAATAGTACTTAGATGCAAATTTGATATATCCCAAACGCAAAAAGAGATATCATAGAATAGATATCAGATCTTGTCCAGGCAAGACGATCATAACCATAAAAACTTGCTAATAAACATGACATCAAAGATCTAAATCTTTTATATCTTCTGACTAAAGAGAACAGACAAACATATAGTATTCATCGATCAAAAATGATCTACATGTTCATTGAACAGACCCAAACCAGATTGGACGAAACCAAACTAAAGAGCACCAAAAGAGAATCATAGAACCCAAACTCAAACCCAGTACATAAACTCACGAAACCTAAATTCTAATTCCTCCAGTTACCCTCAGAGGCACCACCTCCCCTGGAATAACGAGATCCACCATCACCATATCCGCGGTCCCGACCACCACCGTAGCCGCCGCCACCGTTGCCGCCATAGCCACCGCCACCGCGGTTGTAACCACCTCCACCGCCTCCATATCCACCCTCCCGACGACCACCTCCTCCGTAACCACCTCCACCACGGCTATAACCACCGCCGCCGCCGCCGCCACCGCCTCCACCGCTTCCGCGGGACTGAGCCTCGTTCACAGTAATATTACGGCCGTCGAGATTCTGGCCGTTCATCCCTTCAATAGCATCCCTCATCGATTTCTCGTTGTTGAAAGTCACAAATCCAAAACCGCGAGATCTACCAGTCTCACGATCGTTGATGATCTGAACACGAAAACAACATATCTCATTAGATCCGTATACAAACAGAACAGAACCACAATAAATAACTAAACTGAAAAAATAAAATAAAAAAATCGATCGATCTTCGCCCAGAGGATGAAGATGGACGTACCGATTTGAGATTAGTAACATAAAAGAACAGTAACACAGAGATATAGTAACACAAACAAATCACAGATTTGGGATCGACAAAGCCGAATCGGGTCGGGTCAGATCCTATCTCTGCGACCACGACAAACGGACCTTCGATTCAAGGATGTCGCCGTAGGCACTAAAGGCTTCGTGGAGGGCTTGGTCGGTTGTGGCCCAGGCGAGGCCGCCGACGAAGCACCTATACTCGATCTCTGCAGATGCCATTTTTTTACGTAGAGAAACCCTAAAAACCACAAAGAAGATTAAAGGAAATATTAGAGAACGAGAAACAAAGGAGGCTAGACCATGGTTTTATAGATGGTGTGGGAAAGAACTACGGTTAGTTAAGCTAACCGGGGTTGAAAATTGAATACGGTGAATGTGCTAGTATGTTTGGTTACAGGGGTAAAAATATCATGCATTTGGGACAATATAGTGGTCTTTTTCAGCCGAGTCTGGATCCTAATAGCCGCTTTGCGTTTATATTGGCTAATCCAATGCTGGGATTAGGTATTACCAGATTAGATTAGTGAAGCGGCTCGTAAGTCACAAGTTGCGGGAGTATATTCGAATAAAGTAACCAAATCAGATCTTTTTTTGCCTGTTTGGGTGCGGTAGAGGTAAACTATGGTTAACAAACACCGTGACTCAGGGTCAAGTGGGGTCCATAGTTTTGGTGAATTGGGCCGTTGGAAAATGGATAGAGACGAAAAAGAGTAAACACAGATATTTTGGGACTCTGAAAATATCTTGTGAGCTGCAAGTACCATTGTACCCCTTGCGAATTAGAATTCCTAAATTGCCCAAATTTAGAGTTTTATTTGACGTTAACTAATTATTAGTTGTATATGATTATGAACATAGATAAGATTCTTTGCTGTCATATTATATTTGTTTTTTTATAAATTGTAATTAACGAGAAACATGATGATTTAATTGTTAGATCAAGGTTTCGTGAACAAATAAAAACATGCACATAAATTCTTTTTGTTAATTTGGAAGCACAATCCGATTATAAATGATCTTTCTTTTTGAAATTTGTTTTTATTGAGGGATAGATTATCACATTTTTTTAAACATTTATTTCAAATAAATTCGCCATAAAAATTATTTTATTAAAATGGGCTATAAACATCACTGCGAGTAATATTCAAAAGGAAGCCATGTAGATATGGGCAATTGCCTAGGGGTGAGCAACCGTCGAGTCAACAATTCGATCCTTTTAAAAGTTCTGGCAATAATTAAATAATCTCTATAATCGTTTAATTAATTTTCAATTAAATATTTTTTTTATGGGTTAGATACCTTTTTTTAATATGGCTCTTGCATAATTAAAATTTTAAATTTTACAAGTAAAAGAATAAAAAAAAGGAGATCGAGTCATGTGAAGAAATTAAAAAAAATATTTAATACTTTCACTTTTAAGGATAGGCCAGGTTAAATAATGTATTTAACCGATCCGAATAAGAGACATACATCCCCAAATTATCTAACCTGATTGGACTTGAAAATTTTATTATAACCCTATATTTTCGGTCTGGTTGGATTTTGCAAAAGCCCTACAATTGCCGCTTCTCTCTGGAAAAAAAAGTTAGAATTAGCTTAGCCATTCAAAAGGCCCAATTGGTCCAATAAAGAATGTTATAATTAGATTTGGAATAAGCAGGCCCAAGCAACAAATTTCATAGCAGAATGGGTAAATGGGCTATGCTCTCACGGGGACATTACCAATTACTCCATTTGCCCATCTTATTCAAAGTCCTTAATAAGACATTCAGTCATCTTGGAAAAAAGCATTTTCTTTGAAAGGTAGATTTTTTGTTTTTTTGAAGGATTGGAACCTTTGAAGGTAGATTATAGAGAAGTAAGAAAGTGGATTTCCATAGAAGTGATCCTAAGAACTTATTATATTTAGATGAAGGTAAAAGTTTCATAGAAAAGTAACATATTTAAGGATTTTGTTACCATTTTTTTTAAAATATTGAATTCAAGTCTTCCATATGTTTTAAGATGGCAAAACATGCAAACCAAAACATAGCATAGTAGTAAGTATATATACGACCTGACAACAGATCCAGGTTTAAATCTCCTTTCCCTCAATACTAAAAAAAAAGATGGCAAAACATTTTCACGTGTAAAGTTAGATTATAAGTTATATCAAATTAATTTTCTGATCATGGAACCTAAATTATTGTCACTTTGTATTGTCTTTTAAAATTATGAATGAAAGAGAATTGCTAATCATTTTTTATACCCTAATTCATTTGACCCTTAATAGATAAATAAATACGTGTTTTTTAGATGAATAAAAGATTGTGTTTGAAATTTCAATAATTTTATCTAATGCCCCTCTCTTTATGTCATTCACTACATAACATGTTCAAAGTCAAAATCACTAAGCTATGTTTGCTGCTCTATTGATTCAAAAGTTATTCAATAATTAAATAGTTTGACTAATATGATTATAGCTTAATTGTTTCTTATACCTAATTATTCTGTTCAATTCTAAAGATATGGTGCATGCCATTCTTTTTTTTATTTCAGTATAACTAAAGGTCTGTTCGATAAAATTAGTTATTTCGGTAGTTGTTAACTGTTTTAGTAGTGTTTAGTCATTTGAATAACTTTTAATAAAACACTAAAAGTTAAATGTCATATGAGTTAACTTTTCACGAAATGCTTATTAACCTCTAAAAACTAATTCAAATACTATATTACTGAACACTATAAAAAGTAGCACATAGCGTTTTGACCAGTCAAAACGTTAAAACTACTTAGAAAATTGTGCTGAATACAACCTAAAATTTTGTTCTTTTTCCTATCTTTAGCATTTTTAGTTAATAGTTTATATATATATATATATAACTATGTCCATATTGTTATTATAATTCTCGTTCTTTATGCCCGTTTGTTCTTTAATGTAACATCAATTATTGATTACAATCTTCCTCTAACATTGCTCACATACACCTTTTAATGTTAATGCATAATTTCATTGTAAGAAATGGCTAATTTATATTAATTTTACAAATACAATAAAACTTTGTATTCAATATTAAAAACTTTATGAGTATTACATATTAAACCCTTAACATTAAAACCTTACTTTTAATAAAAAATAAAATATATTTTCTATTTGTTTTTTTTTTTTAAAAATAACATAAAGATAGTTTAGTTTATGTTGCAAGCAAAAGTTATCAACTCATTTTCAAATCAAAAATTGTTTTACCATATATGGCATAATTAAAATATTAGATTTTTTTTTTTTAATTTTGAGAGTGATAATTTCAAGTAGGATTAAATAGGAGAAAGGTGACCAAATATAATTCTCATCATATATAAAATACAACAAGTCTTTGCAAAAGCATTAAGACACAAAATATACAAGAATTTAACAATTATCATTTCAGGTGATATGTCAGAATCTTCACTTCTCATTAAAATCATTAATTCATTAAAGTCATAAATATTCCATTTTCTATCATAAATATTAGTTTAGTAGATTACAACTCTTTTTTTTTTTTAAATATTAAAACTCTTTTGTTCTGATTAATCTTTTTGTCTTATATAATCACAATGTCATTACTGTCAGAGGTGATATTATCCACAAAGTACAACAGACAAACCTTTAGGCTATGTTTGGTTGGATGTAATACAATGTAATGTAATCAAAGATATAATGCAATGAAACATGTAATGGATGAATTTTAATCAAAGATATAATGCAATGAAATATGTAATGGAATGGAATGTAATTAAAATTCTAACACTATGTTTGGTAATATAATTGATAAAATTTATGGAATATAATCATCATTCTATTTTTATGCTTGTTTGTAAATATATAATGTCGTGTAATTAAAACACTACCACCACTGCTCCTCCTCCACCACCAATCATACCATCATCACCACTCCACCACCACCACTACCGCCACCACTCCACTACCACCATCACCACTCCACCACCACCACCACCACCCCACTCCACGCACCACCACTAACCGCACCACTCCCTAAAACCACCAATCAACCACTTCCACCACCACCACCACCACCACCACCACCACCAATCCACCACAATCACCATCACAACCATCAATCACACCACCATCACCACTCCACCACTACCATCACCACCACCACTACAAACACTACTCCATCACCACCATCTCCACATCATTATCAATACAAAAGAAATATCTGAAATAAAAATAATTCATTATATTAAGCTATTAAAGATCATTTAGATTTATAAGTTTATTTAAACTAAAAAAATTAAAAGAAGGTAAGCAGAAAAAAAATATGATTTAGGGATGATCATTCACCAATTTGGTCAATTTGAGTAAAATTTTTAACTGAAATAAATTAATCAAAATTTTTTTAGTTAACTGAATCTAACTGAATTAATTTTTTTAACCGAATTGTTTTGGCGGAATTAAATTTGATTTTTAACCGAACCGAAGTTAATGAAAATAAAAACTTAATTAACCAATCGAATTTGACTGAAATTTATGATTAACCAACTTTAACCGAAATAAAAATTAACCGAAGTTATTAATTACTACTTAATCAAAATAAAAATTGAAATATTTTCAATTTTACTTAATCAAAATAAAAATTGAAATATTTTCAATTTTTAATTTTATCATCTACTTAATCAAAACGACGTAGTTTTGAGAGTCGATTAATTTGATTAATTCGGTTAAATTAACTTTTAACCGATCACCGAAATTTTAATTTTCTTTAATTGAACTTTTAACTGAACATTTATTCATCGAACCAAATTGGCCGAATTAACCAAATTAATCGAATTAACCGAATTGGTTAAACCGAATGCTCACCCCTAATGTAATATAACAAAATAAAAGTTATTAAGTCATTAGAAATTAAAATTTTTCATATATTTTCATTGAATAAATTGAATTACAATATAAAATTACAGGTATTTTGATCTTTTTAGTGACTTTTATTCTATTCTTCTCATTCCTATAATAAAATATAATTTTTATTTCATGTTGTATATTAAACACTAAAATATAATTTTTATTTCATGTTGTATATTAAACACTAAAATATAATTTTTATTATATGGTGGTGGTGGTAGAGTGGTTGTTGTGGTGGCCGTGGTAGAGTGATTGAGGTGGTGGCGGCAGCAATGTAAAGTGATGTTTATGCTGGTGATGATGGTGGTTGAGGTGGAGGCGATGGAGTAGTGGTGATGGTGGTGGAGCGATGCTAGTGGTAATTGAGGTGGTGGTGGTAGTGGTGATGTGGTGGAGTAGTGATGGTGGTTGAGATGGA